TCCCCATGTCTCCAGCAGCGATTGTGCTAGAGACCGCTGCTGATATCAAATCCAAGATGGCGGCACTGAGCAGCAGCCTCATGGCTTTTTTTAAGTCTGCACAAGCGAGGCTTTAAATAATATACATAAAATGTGATAAATGGACATATAATCTTATGGGAAGATTGTTCTTGAAATAAATGGTCTGGTGACAGGTGCTCTGCCATCGTGTTATCAGCCGGGGGAATTTGGCATATGAGGACCGGTCAATGTTGCCCCGGGGCAGCCAATCAATTTATTCAAATGACAGCCAGAGTCTAATTATTGACCATAAGAACCCCTCCCCCGCCCCCATTTCCTTTACAAAATACACTTCTCATCCTCTCCGGTGTATATATTGTATCTTTTCAGATGGGAGTTCATCTCAAAGAAGCCCCGCCTACAACGGCGAAGAAACGTTGAGTCACCCGGTAACCAGCATGACATCAAGACACCAACCGAAAGGTAAGATTTGCGACTCGCGACATCAACGGTCGCATTTTAATTCCGTTAGTATCACTTCTGAAGTTCTTTGTTTCCTCTTTTGTAGCCAAACTCGGCGACACAAAAGAACTGGAAAACTTCATTTCTGATCTGGATAAAGTTCTCACCGGTAAGTGAACGGCGGTGCTTAGAAATAAGAACCCAATTTGGGGTAATGTGCCTCCCATTGGCCAAAGGCTTTGTTGCTTTTGGTGGCCCTTTAAGGGAATGCCCCCTTCAAAGGCTTTTTTGCTCACCCTCCATATTCGTCCAGTGACACCACCAGCACGGGGGCATCATTTCCTTCCAGTGACACCACCAGCATGGGGGCATAATTTCCTTCCAGTGACACCACCAGCACAGGGGCATCATTTCCTTTCAGTGACACCACCAGCACAGGGGCATTATTTCCTTCTAGTGACACCACCAGCACAGGGGCATCATTTCCATCCAGTGACACCACCAACGCAATGGCATTTTTTTTCTTTTAGTAACACCACAGAAGCAGGGGCACGTTTTTCTTTCAGTGACACCACTGATACATTGTGTGCCATTCTTAACCCCACCCCCTTCTCCCCTCAGGGGTTGGGGGAGCACAGTTTGGCATCCTTGTCCAGGGCACTGACCTGTCTTGTCCCACCACTGGTCCATAGTTGATAAGGAACTTAACTACTGTACCCCACAAAAGCCATTTAAAGCCCATTGCACCAGTGACACAGGCATTTTTTTGCTTCCGGAGACACCACCAACACAGTGGCATTTTCCCGTTCCAGTAACACCACCAACACAGGGCATTTTCCCCTTCCAGTGACACCACCAACACAGGGCATTTTCCCCTTACAGTGACACCGCCAACACAGGGCATTTTCCCTTTCCAGTGACACCGCCAACACAGGGGCATTTTCACCTACCAATGACACAACCAACACGGAGGCATTTTTTCCTTTCAGTGACACCACCAACACAGGGCATTTTCCCCTTCCAGTGACACCACCAACACAGGGCATTTTCCCCTTACAGTGACACCGCCAACACAGGGCATTTTCCCGTTCCAGTAACACCACCAACACAGGGCATTTTCCCCTTCCAGTGACACCACCAACACAGGGCATTTTCCCCTTACAGTGACACCGCCAACACAGGGCATTTTCCCTTTCCAGTGACACCGCCAACACAGGGGCATTTTCACCTACCAATGACACAACCAACACGGAGGCATTTTTTCCTTTCAGTGACACCACCAACACAGGGGTATTTTATCCGTCCAGGGACACCAACACAGGGCATTTTCCCCTTCCAATGACACCGCCAACACAGGGGCATTTTATCCTTCCAGGGACACCAACACAGGGCATTTTCCCCTTCCAATGACACCGCCAACACAGGGGCATTTTCCCCTTCCAATGACACCACCAACACGGAGGCATTTTTTCCTTTCAGTGACACCACCAACACAGGGGTATTTTATCCTTCCAGGGACACCAACACAGGGGCATATTCCCCTTCCAATGACACCACCAACACAGGGGCATTTTCCCTCCCAATGACACCACCAACACAGGGGCGTTTTTTCCTTCCAATGACACCACCAACACAGGGGCATTTTCCCCTTCCAATGACACCAATGGCAACACAGGGGCATTTTCCCCTTCCAATTACACCACCGACACAAGGGCATTTTTTCCTTCCAGTGACACCACCAACACAGGGGCATTTTCCTCTTCCAATGACACCACCAACACAGGGGCATTTTTTTTTCTTCCAGGGACACCACCAACACAGGGGCATTTTCCCTCCCAATGACACCACCAACACAGGGGCATTTTTTCCTATTACTGACACCACTGACTTTTTGCTTGCAGTTATTAACCCCACCATCT